GCGCGTTTCGTGCTGCACCACTGCGACTGGGGCGCGCTGGCCACGCTGTCCACGCAGGAGGGGCTGCGCGGCCACCCGTTCGCCAACATCTTCTCCCTCAGCGACGGGCCCCCCGGGCCGTTCGGCGGCAGCGGCGTCCCTTACCTGTACCTGACCGACATGGAGATCTCCGTGCAGGACCTGGAGGTGAGCGGGGGCGGCAGGGCGGAGTCTCGGCCACCGGTGCGTGCGAGCAGGTGTAAATAGCGACGCCAGTAAAGGAGCCGTGAGGCTTACACGTGTGCACGTTGCTAAGGCAGCGTCGTCTGTCTTGGTTGCCTGTCCTTCCTCATCTCGGTGGCGAGTGGCGGGTGGGATTTACTTTCTTTTGGCGGTTGGAATTCCTTTGCTAGGAGTCAGGGCTTACGCTGTCATTTCTGAAGGCAATGTAATGGTGCTAACTGCCTGTTCCGTGGATGCCGCCTCACGTGTGAACCCTGGGGACAATTACAAGCCCGTGAGTATTTAACAGTGAATAAGCGGTGCTGTCTCGTGTTGACACTCAATAGTCCTCCTGAGAACTTCCCGCCGATCATGGCCTGAAAAATTGCTAAGCAGCACTCGGGTAGAGGAAGTGGCTGAAGCTTCCAGAACTACAGAGCAGAGAAATGAGAATACTTAAACAGGAAGAATGTAACAAAAATTACCAAAAGGACTGGACAGTGGCAGTGTGGGACTTCAGCAAAGAGGTTTCCTACACAGGCAGGAAGAATAGCCATTAAATCCCTGGAGACTAGCACGCTGAAGCTCTGAGTGAGCCTGGCCTCAGATCTTTTGCTTGTCTGTGGTCAAGACAGAATTGGCTAAAACGTTAGGGAAATGCCTCCTTTACTAGAAAACTGTTTTGTTCTAGTAACTATTACAGTATTAGTAGAACAAGTGAACACAATAGTGGAAAATTTTCAGACTTTGTTTTACTGAAAATATTTTTTTTCCCTTTCATGTTTTAGTTTGCTACATTAAAATAGTTTAATTATGTATCTTAAGTAATGTAAAAAGCTTAGTTTATCTTGCACAGTATCTCCTTCTCCACTTCAACTACAGCCTTTTCTCTTCAGAATAACATAAAAATCATGGTATAAACCGCTAATGAACATTTTTTTTTTTTTCAGAAGCCTCCTCAGCAGATCCTTTTCTGCTGTTACAGGGCAGAAACATGTGACTACAGTAGTCACGTGTGAGGGAGCCTTCTGATAAGAGTTAGTGCTCAATAATCATGAGTCAGCTTTTTGGTAGTTAAGCAATTTCGCTGTTTGTCAGGTGGTTGCTCCGGTTTCTTCAGTTCAGTGACACTCTGTAGTGTTTAAGTGACTTTTGGAGGTTTCATTTTGAGATGAGCTCTTTTAATGAAATCTTTCTAAGCACATGAACTTCCTTTGCTGGAAGATAATGAACTTCAGTATGGCACTTTTGGCAGTAGGCAATCCTGTTTTGCACCAATATTTTTCAAGCTGTGTTCTCTAAATTCGTTTTAGAAAACCAGATGAATACAGATTCTTTAATTCTTCAAGTTAGGTGTCTTAAGTACTCAGAATTTTTTAAACCTAACTTTTAAAAATCACTTTAAACTTTAACAGAGCTGACCCGTTTGTAAGCAGCCAGGAGGGTTGTTTTGATGGGAGGTTGTTTGGGTTTTTTTTTGTTTAAATTTTATCAACAATCATGAAACTCAAACAGTTGCCTTTTCAATAATCCTTTGTCCTTCCATCAGAATTAACTTAATGAACTTCACTGTATGTCCTTGTCTTCTGTACTGTCCTGTATGTGTGTAAATAGAAATATATCATAATTTCAATGTGAAGTAGCTAGAGTGTATATTGAATTAAGAGTTTTAAGGAATGCCATTTTGTGAGGTTTGTATCTTATGCTAACAAACTCCAGCATGCTTCTAAACTGGCCTTTAAGCTTCAGAGTTCATCTAAGTAGACTGTCAGATATAGTCAGGAAAAGGTGATGACAGGTTTGTTCTTTTTACTAGTCATACTGAGCTGAATAAAGTTCCAAGAGCTGAAAACATGGTGGGTATGATGTTTTTCTTGCAAAAGAAAACATCTTATGTTTTAAACATCTCTTATTTTATTACTTGCATTTCAGGTCAATTCAAATGCTTCCTTAACTGTGTCTTTGGCACAGACTCCTTTCTGCAAGAAGCATGGATATGATCCCCAGAATCCCCTCTGTGCCCATATAATCTTCTGTGGGAGTATTGTGAAGGTAAGCAGCTGAAAGTTGACTGTTGTGGTGTAAACCCAGCTGTAGCGTGACACATATGCTTCCAAAACTTCACTGATGTAAATATTAACCCGAGCTATAAAGTTATAGGTATTACAGACAGAGAAAGTGTGCTGTATTACCTGGTGATGTTGCTGCCAGGGCAGTATTCTTTTGTGCACCAGTACTTTGGTGTTTCACAGGAGGAATTTAGAACTGCAGGTGTTATTCACTGAAGATCTTAATCTCATTATTGAGGATAGTGATTGAGTATGAGCAGTAATCATAATTGCTCTCTCTTACGTTATACTCTAAATTCTTGATGTTTTCACACCTCAGATATTTGTACACTACGTTCCAGCAATCCTTTAATTGCTTTCATGAGTTTCTCATTAATAATGGCAATTATTTTATTTAGGTTTTCTTGTACCATACCCAGAGCTTTCATTTGTTGATTTAACCCTTTAAACATTTGCAAATTGCATATGAAGAACGTTTCAGCTTCCCTTCTCTGTAGATTCTGTTACATCATTGTATTTGTGTATGTTTGCACACCTCTGAACATGGTTGGATCTGTTTGTGTTTGAGTGAGCAGGTGAAAAGGAGGTGAAATTACATGTGAAACATTGCATTACAATAATTCAGCAAGAATCCATATTTCGCTGTTTTGTGATTTGTTGAAAGATTTGTTCTTATGTTGATGACGTACGTTCCTCTTTCTGTCTTACTTTCAAAGCACCCTTTTGATTTAATACTAAAATCAGCTACCTTGGAATTTTTATCTGTCTCATGTACCGTTGCATACCGCACTGAAGGTGCACGGACTCTGCCACAGCAGTGAGTCCTTTGGGACAAGGCATGGCTAAACTGAAAAGAGCACACTACAGTCAGCAGTGTTTTTTTAGCTAAAATTTGTCTTTATATGACTGTGTGTTACTTTACCATTTTGCTGGTTATTTAGGTGAATGATTCAGAAGCAGGCTTAGCAAAAAAAGCATTGTTCAGTCGTCACCCTGAAATGGAAAGTTGGCCTAAGGATCATAACTGGTTTTTCGCCAAATTCAACATCACCAATATTTGGGTCCTTGACTACTTTGGTGGACTGAAAATTGTGACACCAGAAGAATATTACAGTGTCAAGCCTTAGTAAGTAATTAAGTTTTGCATGATTAACTCTTGTTACATTTAGAACCTGCAAAATTTCTTCTTATAATTAACTGCGTACTACCTGTCTTTGTTTTTTATGCACATATATTTTCCCTCAGTAGCCTACTGGATGCAGTGTCTGGAATCATGAGATATGTTTGAACAGGGGATTCACCCACTTAATATTAAGTATAGTATCTGTAGAACTGTCTGTGTTTAGCTGCATTTGTACCTCAGCTTAAATGCAGTTTCTTGGGAGGAAGGACTCCTATGGAGTGGGCACTGTCACTGACCTCTGAATTAATTGCAAGACAGGTTATGTTTGGTGTAATAGTTAAAAGTAGTGAGACTATTCAGCATTTATGAAGCTATATTGCAGCAATTTTAATTACAGCATTATTAATCGGTATTTTGAAAAAAAAGTTGCTTTTGAACCTGTCATTACGATAGTGAAGCATAGAGAAATTGTGTTTTATTTTCTACATAAAATGAAGTCTTTCAGATATGTTTTAGCTCAGTCAACACTTACTATTCAGTTTCACTCTTATTCTTATTCCTTGTAGGTAGAAGATCATCCCTGGTGATGCTGATATACAAATTAATTACTTCGTCTGTTTCATGAAAGGGTTTTTTTCTATGTATTGTAGAGTTGAATAATGGGAAAAAAAAGCAAACACTTTGCATTGTTAATGAACTCCTACAACCCTTCTGAAGCAAATGTAAATTCTCACTAACTAGCACTGCTTGCATCATGTTGGACTCTAAAACCTTTGTGTATAAGCCATAACTAAATTTTATTACTTGGATGTGATTCTGGAATGAAGTCTGTTTGTTGAATGCCGCAATTAAATAATATCTATTTGTGAGCAGCCTCCAATTTTATTTTTAATACCAGTTTAGTTTAGATCTTCATAGCAAAGTGCTACAGGGATGGCTCAGCTGACCATGGAAGGGGAAGCATTGTTTATATTACAACAGCAAATGATATGCTGAGTTCTCAAATTCTGTTAAGAATTTTCTTTACACGCTAATTTGCTCATTTGTTTGAGCCATTTTTCTGTTTTGCTATCTATATTGAATGCACTATAGAGTATGATGGTGTTTATGCAGAGTGTACATGCACCTCATGATAAGATCTTGGTAACTGTTCAGCTGGCAGTGGTTATATGCCCTGACTCTTTAACAAAAGTCAGGTGGTAACACTGTAAGTATCTGACTTAAGTATAAGAAGAGTAGTGGCTTGTAGATTCAATGAGTGTTGTAAAGGGTAAATATTTTCTCATTAGGATTCTGAAATCTCAAGCTTTGTTAGTCTGATCAAATGGCAATATATCAGCTTTTATTACCCTTGTCAGTAGAACAGCAGATTTTTTGTTTTAGAAGCTTTACACATCAATTTTGGGTTAGTAACCCAGAAGTGAGAAAGAAGCAATACAAATGATTTTTAACTTGTAGAGAATGTAAATTAGTGAAAGATGTCCATAATTGTCTGCTAGTCACACACAACCACAAGAAATAAATTAACACCTTTTTATATCCGCTCTCTCATCTCCCATGTGCTAAGTTCACAAATATCCAAAAGTGATTATGAACAATTCAGTTGATTTTACAATGAGCAAGTATTACCTAGTTAATAGATTAAAGAATAGGAGAATTTAGACTCCTTAGAGGCAGATCCATATATGGAATAGTGAAATTTGTCAAATCTACATATTAATGTCATTATTATACACTACTTTTATCAAATGCTGGAATGATTTGTGAAAGTATTTTTGACATAACTTACAAAGTTTTTGTTTTCTGCAAGGGGGGAAAAAAAGGTACTTCGTACTGTACCAAACTCATTCTGCTCTACTATTTGAAAATTAATTTAGGATCAGAAAAACTAAAATATGAAAAAATCTTTGAATGACTAACACTGGTATTCTTCCAATGTGAAACTGGGAAATATTTTTATTTAAGGCATGACAGTTGTGGAAACTCAAATGACCCTCTGGTATGGACTTGATCCTTAGCATGGGGACATCTGAATGCATTATGTGTCACTCCATAACTTCTGATGTGTGAGACTGGTGATGCTGGGCTTTTGTTAAAATTAAAATTTTTTTTGACAAGTGCGGTTGAGTGTTATTTATTGCATGTTTAAGAATATTTCTCTCTCACGCTCTTTCACATAAGCACCCTTTCTTCTGAGTTGTTGTTTTGTTGTCACTCTGAATTCTTTCATGCCTGCTACAATAAATGGTGAAACACCCCTATTACGCGTGGCTTTCCATTCTTGGATGAAATATGCATCTCTGTGTTTCACCGTCTGTTCTGTGTTTAATACTGTGAAATGGAATGTAAAATAATGAAAGGGGGCTTGTGAAAATGAATACGAGGAAGCCTTATTTGATTATTTCTTCTGGCTGGGGCTTCTCTGTTTCTAAATGACTGTGTCATCTCTTATGTGTTCAGCCATCCCCAGGAAAGCAGAGCTTCATCATGTGTTAATGGTTACTGGGGAAAACAAACACCATCACTCCTTTTTTCCCCAGCTTTTATTGCTGAGCATGATGTTCTGTGGTCTGAGATATCCCTTTGGTCAGCTGGGGCTGGTTGTCTCACCTGTGTCCTCTCCCAACTCCTTGTGCACCCCCAGCCTACTCCCTGGTGAGGCAGTGAGAAGCAAAAAAGGTCTTGATGTTGTGCAAACAATGACTAAAACATTGGTGTGTTATCAACACTTTTCATCACAGATTCAAAATACAGACCCAAACAAGCTATTATAAAAAAACCCCTGAAACACTCCATCCCAGAGAAAACCACCACAGCACCTTTAAAAGAATAACTTAGTTTGAGGGTTTGGTACAGGGTAGAGCTTGTTATGTTTCTGGTTGCCTTGTCAGATTTGATGTTTCCATTAGCAGAAATTCCCAAGTCTTCTGGTAGGGAGTTGAAGGATGCTTTTTTTTTGTTTGTTTGTTTTGCTTTTTTGTAACAATCTCCTTACATTTGAAATTTGAGAATGCCTCAGCCAAATGTTTCTTTTGGAAAGTATTGAACAACAGAGTGGTTAGACTACATATGCAGAGCTGGATTTGAGGATTAATCAGAGAAGAACTATCTGGAACTGTTGCATCTATGCCTCTCATGGAACACTTGAATGAAGATATTTTTGTCTGTAGAATTGGAATGTAAAGCAGACTAGGGTATCAATTGTACTAAACAGCTCTCTTTTTCTCCTTTAGTAATGGGTGTGTATATTAATGTCAGTAACTGAAGAAAGTCATCAGCTTTTGTTCCGTTTTCTTGCCTGCTTTTCATCTTCCTGTGCTCACCTTTGTTGTATTAGGCTTATTCAGAAATTCACTTGGGAGTGTTTTTCATTTTTACCTAATATTCGGAAGTCATATTGCAGCTTAGAATAGAAGCAGTTGAGTATAAGAAATTAATAGAGTTTTAATCAGTGATTCAGCATTTTGACTTCTGACTGTATATCCTCTACCATGCTCCAAGTGTCCGAGAGTATTCTAAATAGTAATGAAGTCACTCTCTGTACCCAGGAAGTGTCTCCATTCATAGATAACAATCTGAGACACAGGATAAACTTAGGCATCTCACTAACAGGGTGTTTGTTAGCTGGGAATATGACTAGAATAATACCAGCCTGTCTCCCTAATGATAGAGTTGTGTTTTTACTTTGTCTACTAATCTTGCTTATTGACATGCTTGTGATTCTACGTCTTGATTTTAAATTTATTTCTTATATTTTAATGTAAGACTTGTGCTCAGCAGATACTTGTGACATGCTACTGCATTATAGAATAGAGCTTATGTCTATCAGATATTAAGTTAATCCTTTATTCTGTTCTATCTGGAATTATTTTCTGAGCTATTTAATGTTGTATCTGTGATTTTCATAATAAAATAGAGTTAGGTCAATCAGAGTATTAGATTAATACAAAAACTATTAATCATTACTTAATGAATGAATTTGTTTTCAACAGGTTTTTCCTAAATAACAACACAGTGAATCGATTCAAACCCGAATAAACTGTTATATTGTCGTTGAACACAAGAGGGTGCAGTAGACTTACATTCAGGTTGATCGTTTACTATTTAAAACTGGGCATTGAATTCATCATAATTCAAAGATGCTGGAAAAGCATACGACAGGGGGCATGATTCTTTTCCTACAATGCTTTACATTATGAATGCTTTCCTCCAGAAACACAGTAGCCTGCTGGCTGCTAAAAAAGAAGCTTTCATCATTTTTTTGTGTTTTGTAATCATTTTGTGGTGATCAGAAGTAATGTGCATGAAAATGATTTAAAGGTTTTTAAATTAAGAAACTTTAGTAAAGGAAGTGGAGACAGGTATAGAATGCTTTGGAACAGCGACTGGGAGCAGCTACCTCCTGACTTGATGGTGTTTATGTCTCTCAGCACCTACTAACTATAAGAATCCAAGGTGAAGGTATTTTGTTAGCATGTTGATGTTTTGGCTTAGGTTTATTGTTAGCTGAACTAAACCACCTGATTCTGATAATTTCTAACAGCTAATTAATCTTGTTGGACTTGGATTGTTTGAATGTCTTCCAGGCCCTCTCCAGTGGTTTGGGCTACCTGTGCTGGAGGCCAGCCCTGACTGTCTGCTGAAGCAGAACTGGGAGAAGCCTGCTTTGCAGTTTCTCCTGTTTGCCTGGGGGCTGCATTGGAGCTCAGGCCCTTGCTGCTTGACTAGTCCCACTGACTTGACTTCAAACCTGCCTTGTTGTGGTTGACCCTCTTTGCTGCCAACTGACCTGCTTTTCTTGTCCCGGTACTGTGGGACAAGATACTGTGTATCTTGGTGGCAAGGCCACTACCCTGCTAATCTGCCAGCATCCTGCTTTAGTGGAAGAGCTGCCCCTTGATGCTCCCCAACAATTTTATTTTCCCTGCTGGAAAGCCCACTCTGTAAGCTTCTCATGCAAAACTCATGGAGATGCCCCCAAGGGTTTGTTTTTTTTTGCTTAAG